ACGAAAGCCAATGTGCTGAAATAAAAAACTTTAATTAAAATAGGGCTTTGATTTGATAATTTAATATTCTTAAAGTACCTGCTGCTAGCAAAGGAATTTGGTTTATGAAATAGTTTTTTGCACTGACAAATCTTCACTTATCCTGAACATACGAGTAATCCTACAAAATATATGAAGAGCTGTTATTTCAGCCAATATTTTTAACTAAGAAAAAATTGAAAAAATACGGAATTCAATTTATTTGCCTCAATAAAATTAAATACAAAACACGTAAAAAGTAGTTAAGTCATTTGTTAATGCTTCGTCTTAAGATGTGTAGTTATCTCATACTTTCTTTTAAATTTATGACCACAAATAGAACAACTGAATTTTGGTTCAACCCCACATTCGAATTGTACGTGACGACGAAGAATGTGTTTATGTTTGTATCGCTTGAAACATCGGTCACACTGATAAGGCCTTTCACCACTGTAGAATGTGGGATCACTTTTGATATTCAGCAAATACCTTATGTACTGCTCGGCATTTTTCTCTTCTATAAAAGAAAGTGGTGTTAGATGGTCTTCGAAGTTCAGCTTCCCAATCATTCGATTTTAATAATATTTATAGCTACTACGTTTATATAAAAAAGAAAGTTGGCTTATACACGTTGCAAACACCGCCTCATCAATTACCAATGAAAAAAAGTAATCGAAAAATAAGTAAGACCAATGTTTTCTCAGATTGAAATTTGTTAAACTATAACCTCTAAGAAAACTTCAACCAACTTCAATTTTTTACTAAACGAGTAATACTTACCAAATAAATTCTTATGAAGAAAATGACAAATAAAAAAAGGAAAAAAATAGTTTATTCTCGTTTTCCCCAATACAAATTTTTAAGATCCACTTAAAAATTTAAAGATGTGTTTACCGTGCAAGCCGAAAGTTCTTAAAGCTCTATCGTTACATTCAACGTGCTGATACGTCCATGCGTGTAATGTCCTCCAAAATAACTACATTTACATTACTTATCGATGCTTCGTATTTAAACGTTAATTAAAAATGAATTATCTGTTTTACGTTTATTCAAAGTACAATATTTCCTGAGAAATTCCAAATCCAATTCTATATTTTTTTTTTTAAATTTCAGCAGAAAATTTTATTATTCCATAACTTCATGTTAAATTTTATAATAAAAACATCTACAAAAACCCAAAAAAAAATTTAGATATTTAATTGTACTTCAAATTTAACATTAACGTGATTTACAGTACGCCATACACTTAACAATCACTATTTGTGTATTACTGCACGTTTAGTAATGGATAGAAGTTACTTACCAATATTTATACGATTTATTTCTAATTTCTACTAATTACTAACTTTAGCTCCTAAAAAAACCTTAATAGAATTTTCTGGCGTACAGTGTTAGTGAACGTTTATTAAACTCAGCTTTATTATACTCGTATTAAAATAAAATGAAATATGACGACTTACAATTTATTTTTAGTTGATACATCAAACCTATGCTACCAAAATTTGGTACTTAATACGTATTTTATAATTATTTACAGTTTTCACCAACAGTTTTTGTTACAAAAAACTCGACGTGTTCCTAATGTTAATAAAAAAATTACTTATAACGGTCCACAATAAATATTTTTGACTAGCTCTGAGATCACTTAATCTTAAATGGCAGTAAAAAATTTGTCAATGAGAAATACACTTATTTTTTTTTTGATGTCTAGCCTGTACTCGACTTCAAAAATACGACGCAACTAAAAAACTGCCCCGTTTTTTGTCACGGCCTAAAACTAAATTGGCACATACTGTTTGTTATCTCTTTATTACTTTACAACTCTAGTTCTGTATATAGTAATACTTTTGCTAAACTTTGGCATGCAATGTTTATTTTCAAAATGTCTCTTTAAATTTGACTGTTGATGAAACTTTCGATTACAGAAAGAGCACTGGAATCGTGCTTGTTTTCCACATTCATAAACCATATGTCTGCGCATGTTGCCTCGATGCTTGTAGACTTTACCGCAGTTTTCACAAGGGAACCCACCTGCAGATTCTGGACCTATTTGCTGCAGATACCAAGATCTCCTTCCTGGAAATAAATACTGCTGTACTAGCGATTTCTATTCACACTGACGACGCCTAATTTCGAAACGTTGGCCCAAAACATATTTATTTCGGGAATGGTATACTACTTTACGGAAATAAACTGTAGATATTTTTTTAAAAACCTTTATTTAAAAAAATACTATCTACAGGAAAAATATCGGAATGTAATAAGCGTGCACTGGATGGATCCAAGAAACCAGAGGCAGAGTGAATATGCGACAAAACTGTAACAATAGAGAAACCTGTATAAGTTGACAGTATTAACTTATAATATATGTTCAACAAATTTTCAAAAACCAAAAGTAAGAACTGATTTTACTATAATTGTAACTATTAAATTGAATGAAAACTAATCAAAACAATAATGTTAAATTAATAGAAAAAAGTAGAAACTTACATTTGAAAATTTGCAGCTCCTGTAGGCGGCGGCAGCAACAAAAAAGGGAAAGATGGAGAAAGTGTTAGTAGGAGAGGAAAAGGGTTTTCAGCAGCAATCCGGAAGATGTCTCAGCAAGCCAGAACGGTACTTGTATCTTCGGCCACATGAAGGACACATGACTCCAATAGTGTTGAAAGAGCTCCCTGATTTCATTTACATAATATTGATATGCAACATTATCACTTTTATTGTTGCAAAGCCCCATCACCCCCTCTTAACAGTAAATATAAAGGAATTACAGAACTGAAACGCTGCAGACATTTCAATCCGATAATTCCTTTACATCAACCGATTCAGTAATTATTTGACCTTGATGCTTATTTTCTTAGTAAAGGTTTTATTGTTTTTGTACTACATATGACTAGATAATAATTGCTTATTTTTTTAGCTTATATTAGCCACGCCATGCTTAAATTTCTTTTCGTGGCTTCTTAAAATATCTCTACGTGAGAATCTTCGTAAACAAACTCCACACGAGAACTGCTTAGCTACACCACACTCGTATCTGAGATGTCGTTCGAGAGTGTACTGAACAGAGTACAATCGACCACAACGCTGGCACGTGTATGGAGAAACAATAGCTGTAACAAATCATCCATTCTTCACACGTTCAACGTAAAGAGACAACACTACATGGCATGTTATTTTCAAGCATCCATAACTTGTTACGCAACTTGTAACCGAAGCTACGAAACAAGAGTCATCCATTTCTCTAACAAACCATCAGAACAAGGAATTTAGACACTTGAAAATAAAAAGCACACATCAAGCGTTGGCCCTCTATTCCATACAATCGTTACACACACTACAGACTCTTAAAGATGTTTAAAAATAATACCCACCAAATTACATCTTCAGTGAAAAGTAAAATTAAAATAAATTTTACCTTTTAGGTGAAAGATTGTATTCTACTTAGTTTTAAAAACACCAACGGCAAACACTTTATAGAAAAATAACAAAATCCTGTAAACTGGCAGAAGTAATCCCTGTAATAAATGTGACAAAATTTTGCACTGTCCAATGCATTAGCAGTTATTAAAAAACGATTTTACACGTACTCTTCACAACAAAAAAATTGTTGTGAAAAAAAAATTAACCCCAAATTGAAAGAACACTGAAAATTCCACGCAACATCTAACGTAAATTGACATGCACAAAAAAATTGTTCATGTCAAGATATAAAAAAAACAAACGCACTTAAAGGACGCTATCCTAAAAAAATAAACTCAATTGTTCACTGGATAAACCCTGGTACCTCATTACACGCAAATACGTGCAACTACACAACAAATTTAAAAAAAAAAACTATTTAGCAAAACATTAAATAAATGTTTTACGTACCGAAGGAGCTGAATAGAATTCTATTCAACTTTGGAACTTAACTCGATGAAGGAAAAATAGAAAACAAACTTTAATTAAAGTCTGTCTTAAAAATCACAAACACAATAAAGTCACAAACCCTCTAAAGTGCTGATATAAAAAATAACAACACTTAAGAGGTTTTGGAATCACCGTTGCGCTTTGTACAAGTACAAAAAGCAACGTACACAAATCGCAAGTGACGAAACTAAATTTAGTACGTCACAACTTCTATACAAAAGTAAATGAATGCATGCACATGATAAATACAGTATAAATGTTAGACCGATAGTTTGAGAAAGATACATGAGATAGAAGGCCAACAATATAATAACAATAGCCAATACCAGAAACAACAGACATTTTCAAATAACAATTAACAACTGGATATCTGTATTTCCAGTATCAGCTGTTTCACAAAACCCAACAAATTATACTCGCAATTGAATAGCAAAATCGTAATAAAAATAAAATAAAAAATAACAAAACAAGCAAAAAAATTCTATGTTAAAATTAATGAAAGACACCGAGACGTTCGCAGCCTCTGATTCAAAAACCAAAATGTTTACCAAAACTTTACCAATTTTTTATGTACAAAAAAATTTAACTGGTAACATTTTGATTTTAAAGCCCATCTCCCGTGTCTTACCTTTAAATTTTTTTAAGTGAATCCCGCATCCAACGTTGCTTCCTCGATAAATAAAAATTACTAATATGTAATTTAACTTTTAAAATTAATGACGTCCAATATTCAGCGCATATAAACATTGCTAATTAAAAAAAAAAAACAATATCGCAATATATTTTGCTTCGCAGCAAAGGGAGAAGGACTTAAAAAATAAAAATGAAAAACTACTTGCAACTACATATAAACAAAAGCTAAGGGATAGGAGAAGCAACAAATCACTAAGTACCACTAAAATAATCAAAATTCAGAGACTGGGAACTCAGGGTGTTAATTTTGCTACAACAATTGCGAGCATTTAAACTTCCCCACTTTTTTGCAAAGACATGCAATAAGAATTGAATGTATGAAGACATGTCGAAGCAAATCAACAGAGAAGTTGTAATAATTGAATCGTAAATCTTACCTTGTGAATCACGATGTGCACCTACGGCCTCTTGAGCGGCCAAAAATACTTCATCTTGACTTTGGTTACCCATATGCCAACCTCCAAAACCTGGAATAACCCGGTAAAAAAATAAAATAAGAAAATTTCAATTTTTTCTAAATTAAACTTGAGCATTTATTTCTTTGAAAAAAAATGAAACAAAACTATACGAGTTAAGCACGAAAAGACGATTTAATTTTGATGTTTAACTTTTTTAAATAGTGTTGCAAACTAGTGCGTTTAATGCCAAAATCTATTGATGCTTGTGTGACGGTCTCGCCGCGATTAAGTATTGCATCAAGGGCCCTGTGTACTGAATGTCTCGAGTACTTGCGAATGCTCCCTTCCAAGAGGTTGGCTAAAGGTTCAATCTCAAATTCTGCCCAAGTTACGTCGCTAGGACAGATATTGTCTGGTGGTTTGGAGTTGCGCCGGCGCTTATCTAAAAACAACCAACTCCTTAATTTCCACCAAACAACATCTGATCTCTAGAGGAATCCCAACCAAAAACGAACCCTCAATAACCGGCGACTGGAATTCCTCCAATGGTTGTTTGAAAAAGATTCATTACCTTGACTCGATCCTTCACCCGCATTGCCATGACTAGGCCCAGCTCCATCGTCCATTGATTCCATATTGCTAATATCATCATCGTCCAACGTCAAATCCTCAATACTGTCCTCGTTCATTTCTTCGACATACTCAGACTTTGGTTCAAGCATCAGTTCTGTATGTGTTTCTATTTTTTCTTTTATTATAGGAACTTGGGGAACGTCGTCGGACTGTTTATGCCTCGTCAGGATTTCGGATTTGGTTTCTACAGGTTCAGGCACGTCGGCGATTATTTTCGAGGCAGGTAACATCGTGGGAATGTTTTGGGCGGGTGTTTGATTACTATGAGATTCTGATGAATTTGAAGCGTCATGGTGATTATCTAACTCTTCGCTTTTACGCCGTATCCTTTTTTTCTTTCGAGGGCCTGGTGACTGAGAACCCTCCCTACTATCGTCTCTGTTTCGCTGTTCTATTGTTAGGCCTTGTACTTTCGGAAGCGATGTTGGTTGTGGGCTTTTTGAGGGGGCCGGCGGTGGTGCCGGTTTTCTGTCAGTCTCTCCCCCCTTTCTATTGTCAGATAAACCCTTTATCTGTAGCGATTCAGCCGCCTTCAATAACGCACCCAATTGGTCCTGCGATATGTTCACTTCACCTCTATACATATAGTCCATCATAGCTTTCAGTTCTTGGAACTTTACATCTTTCAATATTAATATTGGATGCTTGTCGTAATGCCGCGACAGCAGCGACTGTAGACAAAAAAAAAACACAAATCAAAAATAGTAAACTCTTTTCTTAAAACCGCTAAATAATTTGCAGAAAAATAATTGCAAGAATGAATAAATTTAAGACATCCAACATCATTGATTACAATTCCACACACACCTCACATACGTAAAAAGGTCCAAAAATAATTAAGTTCCGATTCACAATAAATTAAAAAACTTAAGACCAAACTTGAAGCCTAAACACTTTCTTTTTATGTAACCGTGATGTAATTCGTGAATTAAAAAAAATTAAACAGCTATTGGATCTTGTGCAAGATTTTTTTTTAAACATTTTTTAAAAGCAAATTAAAGATAAAACATTTAAATTAAACATACCTCAAAAAATGGACTACATGCTGAAAGGACTACTTTGTGGGCGTTTAGACATTTGCCCTCTGCTGCCAATGTACAATCAACCAACGTTCCATTTTCCAACAGTGTGTCGAAAACTGCCACTAGAGTAGACTGATGATTATTCCATCTCAGACAAAACTGTTGGTCATCCTCCATTATTCTGTAACCGAACGAAAACGTATTATTTAAAGTTAAAATATGTACTTGGGAAAAAAATTATAACAAGAAAACAGATCCGGGAGACACGCCACGAAGCTTAACGGAAGCACACGTCAGCAGTGGTGGGGGAAGGGAAAGCGAAGCGTTGGCCGTGTCCAACAATGGCCGCTTTTCCGAACGAAGCTGGAAAAATGGCGATCCGAAATACAAAAACTCGAAAATAAATTTCCCCCTCTCGAATCTCGCCGTCAAACAATAAAAAAAACTCGAGCGTCGCGATTTTCCACTAACTAAAAAGCTTTCAAGCTTTCGGAAAATATAAATAACAACAGAAAGCTTGAGTCGTGTCGAACAAAGCTTCCCTGCCCTGATTTTCAAACTGCGTAAAAGTGCGGAAAAGACCATTTTCTCTGAACAAAATTACTTCGAACGAATTGTAAGAGCTTTATACCTGTTTTGGCACACTTATCACTATATCACAATAAGGTTTTTCACTTGTGTTTGACTTTTTACAGAGACGACATGAAACAGTGCTTTATGTTGTAATGGCTTCATCCGACTGAAAGCGGCCGGTGAAGAAGACGAGATTGGGACGTCGGCTGTTATTCCGGAGTAGTTTGGACGAAACAGCTGTGACGTCAATTTGCTGCGCATTGGAAGCTTGCGCAACAACGCCAAGCTCTGCGCCAATCAGAGTGCAAGCTTTTGCGGTTAATGTGGGAGAAGGGTAAGCTTAGCACAAACGTTGCGTGCTGGATTCTTCGGATTGCACGCCGAAGCGGCAACAAGAGAGAGAGGACGGTGAAAAGTTGAAAGAGAGAGCGAAGAGATGAGAGGAGAGAAACGAATTTGATCCACAACAAAATAGTGAGCCTGTCTCTTCTAATCGCACAGTCCGTTTTCCACTGCCGTCTTGATTCTGTTTCTTTATCATCGCGACCGTGTTTATTTTGCATGTTTATTTGTGTCAGCTGGATATTTACGGCTAAACAGGTAAGAATCCTGTTATTGCCCATTTCTAATCACCCTAAATGCCAACGATTTAAATAGCGGAAACTGGATGCCCTACATTTTTTTATGTTTTATACAAGTAACATCAATGCTTTCACTAAGAGATCTAAGCTGGCCGCGAGTTATCTTTTTTTCCGATGAATCTTAATCCCGGAGTATTCAAATTTGAATTAAGTGCATTCTGGCGCGACCTATCCCCACGCAAAGCTACGCATGCATGCGTTGTTCGAGTATGCGTAATCGCTAAAGGATAAATAAGCGCAAGTTCGCTCAGGTATTATGTCAAAAGAAAATAGATTATTTTTTCCGCAAACGCAGCTTAAGAATTGGTAAAAAGGTTGATTCGTTGATTTCTTTTTAGACCACGGATCAAACTGCAACATCGTTTATCTCCTAGACGTTATCTAGTTTTTAAACACTTCTTTTTTATCTTGTTTATTATTTGGTTCTGTTATGCCCTTGTCAGATAATTGAAAACTTGAGAACACTTTTATTTTCATCTTAATTCGCGATAATAAAAAAATAGCACATTAAAGTGAAACTGACAAAATTTTACATCAAGGTCGCTTAATCTGCAAATCCTTGGTGTTTTTCAATTCGTAAATATCACGTGAAACATAGTTAAATAAATGAGCAACAACTCCTTTCATTTTAATGATTTACTTCTAAAATTGCAACATTTTCACCGATTTTTGTAAGAATTATGGTTTTCCTGTCGTGATTTCGGAAAAGGAGAGAACACTGCTGATCTATACAAAGAAATAAGGAAATGAAAGCTGAATTTTTCAGGACCAGTTTCAAATACCTAATACCTAACTGTCTTGTCACCCGTATATGAACGTTACTCTAGGCATTTTTTTTATTATGTTTTGAAACAGCTTCTTTATAGGGAAATTTTATTTCGCAAAACGAATATTATGCAAAAATCACAAAAATTTATCATTTGATGAAGGTGATGGTGGTACACTTAGAAACATTACATAATAGTAAAACGTCAGTCAAATGGAAAAGTTCGTTTTTAATCTTTGTAATGTCTGAAAAACAAAATTAAGTAGATAAAAATTAATTTTTAATTTAATTAATTAGAATATTTATAGAAATCACTATCAAACGAGGCTAAATTGCTTGTGAAAAAGCTTCCTTCAGTATAACCAAGTGATTTTGTATATTGTATATTAAACACATTTACTTCTTTAAATTTTTGAAATCATATTAAATAAAACGCATAAGGCTGTGAAAATTTCTAAATTTTGGCTGCGGTAAAAGATTTAGTTTAAATTTTTCGTAGAAAATGAAAATATTTTGTGAGATTTTTTGATATTTCTAAAACGGTTAATTACCCAAAGTAAAAAATCGTACATTGTATGAGTATGTGCATGTGTATTCATCTAAGGAAGGTTTTTATGAAAATTTTGAATCATATGAGATTTTTAGGTAGTATACACGTCAAAATTAGAAAATATAATTAGAAAAGTATTAGGTACTCTTTTTTCTAATGACACTAGTTTTTTAGTTATTTTATTATTACTTAAGTTGAAACACCGAATTTAGTAAAAAAATAATGTACTTACTCTGTGTATAAGTTTAGAATGTGACATATTATTCCGTAGCTATAGCTGTGACCAGTCTAATACTAGTGTGAGAATATTTTTTCGCAGTGTTAAAGAATGAGTATTCTGTAATTAGAATTCAACTGAAAATATTGTTATTCTATAATAGTCACAGAAAAAAATATTTGAAATAGTCATTTGACTTATTTGTATTTAAAATATAGCAACTTCTATCATCCAGGGGCAGGCTTCCGTGAAATTAGAGATGGTTACGCATAAAGTACTATGTATATTTTTATATATTTATCAATGATAGGTATTCTTTCTAGCATTACTTTATTATTTTCAAAGACAGAACATACATTGGAGATGGAGATCACGTGTTTTTGCTAACGAATCAGTTAAGAATTTTAGTTTAGTATTTTTATGATTACTATCACGTACTCGTATTTCACTAACCAGGTTGATTTGATATAATCGAGTGAATGGCGAAATTTATTTATCATGACAATATCGATAACTATTGTAAAAACGTTTGGTGGATTTTATATAATTGTTTTGCTACTTTATGTAATTATTTATACTCGTTTTGTGTAAAAGCTCCATTTTGCACACGTATGGGAAAGTAACTGACAGTAACAAATGAAAATTTTCTTATAAATAGGATGCTTTTAGCCTATCAGAATTGTTTTTATCAGAAATTGAATTGACCCACTTACCGTCGATCGTTCAGTACATTGCCTACTACATTTTTGTCAAACCGAGAAGCATAATTCATATGGTGAAAATGCCTCTCTATCTGTCGTGAGTTTACATACATAAGTCAGTATTATCTGCAAATATCTTAATTTCTGAAATATTACTTATAAGAAGTTACGAAGTTTTTTTTGTTTTTCAAATTCCCGCAACAAAGCTTTCATTCTTTTTCTTTTAGTTTTCTTCTCCATCCATTTTCTCAATCGATACCCAACCAACCATTTTTCTAGTTTTCGTCCGATGAAAAATCACTCTCTCACCCACCATCCCAAAAATCCATCATCGATGACACATCTGCTTATCGAAAGTTTACCTGCCACCGACCATCACTTCACGAGTCTCTTCCCTTGTTGATTGGATAATGATGATTGTTCAACTGACAGCGGTTTAATGCATTATTTGAAGTGCAATAAATTACCTTGATTTCTTATTGTTTCAATTTTCAAAAGATTTTATGTTTCGTTTAGCTCCCATTGTGTTTCGGCATCAGTTATCGTCCAAGCATGTGCACACAGATAATGCAGCTATTCTTATTTTCCTCGTGTTGTGCATACTTACCACAATCTAACAGCTCCTCGAGAAAGTAAACGGATTTTCGTTGTGGTGTGATTAGCAGTGCATAACCAAACAGACTTTGCGAGGAAACGTAAGTTAAAGATTCACCCTTTAGGCTACAGGCGAATTCAAAATTAGAGAGGGTGTAGATCACACAAGTTGGATAACCGTTTTGTTTTTTTTATGTTATTATTATTTATTTTTATAAATGTTCAATCAAACAAAATTTCTACTATAGGTACGTGCTTTTTGTTTTTTAATTTTTTTGGTAAAACGTAACGGCAACAGTAGAGGAACAATAGTCGGAGACATATCAATTTTTTGTTTTAATTTTCTGGAACAAAACACCATGTAAAATGAAACGTTTCGTATATTATTACAATGTTTTTCCTGCCACCTCTAATCAGCTTTTGAATTATGTTACCGAACCAACCGCGACGTTGCTGCATTCATTTTAAATCAGACTGCACTTTAAAATGTGGTTTTTGCAGCCTTGCCAAAACATCGCATTAGTGTCTTTTCCAAAGTTTTGTTCAACTACCATTCCGGTCAGCGAATTTAATGGCATTTTAAACAAACACAAATTTAATTAGCGCTTTTAAATTTTGTTGACCAAAGTGATGAACAAGCCGGATTTTGCTTTCTGCTAATGCATCGCGTTGTATTTTTTTCCTGGACAAAAAGACGGATCGTGAGCACAGGTAAAGACGGAACGAGGCACCGGAGAGAATCCAGGTATAAAAGAAAACCGTTGAAAACTCTCGTCGACCGTTAAAACCAGCATAGATCGTGAAATACAACCGCGTATACCTAACCCAAGGAACAGACAGCAAAAGGACTAAAATCAATAGAAAGAAAAATAAAAATAACTCGGTCTGGCATGGAATAAGGAACGATATAGAACGGACAGCCTTCCTTCGTACTAAAAGACGTTTGACTAAAAGAGATTTTTCTTGATTTTTCAGAAATTATGTCTGGCCAGCATTATTGCCTGCGATGGAACAATTATCAGAGTAACATGACTTCCGTTTTTCATCAGCTGTTGCAAAACGAAGCCTTCGTGGATGTCACTTTAGCATGTAACGACTTATCACTCAAAGCTCACAAGGTGAGTACCCATCAAAAATTTATTTTGCGCAACTGTACCACTTTGGTTACTTGATGGGGAGGACAGGGACGGGAAATTCAATACGTGTTTTGTTACCTTTGGCGAACAGTGGCGGATCATACGTTAAGAATTAATGTCGTTGTCATAAAAACTGACAACATGCATACTTAAATTTTAATAATAGTTTTCTAGGTTGTTGTTAAAACTGACTAAATTCCCACAATTATATAATTTGCAAAGTAGGAATAAAAATGTTACGAACTTAATTAAAGTTCAAATTTTGTATATTCATTTGAAAAGTTTATTTTTTAGACAAACTTTCATATCTTTTTTACATTAACTTTGCGAGAAATTACTTAATATTTTTTTTGCTTTAGTACTTGATTCTGTCGCCGCATTCGATCTCACATAATAATGTTGCAGTTGTATAGAAAATAGAAAAAGATTTTGTTGCGTTTTTTTTATTATTTTTGTATTTGACTATGTTTTTCTATGCTAAGATTAATTCATATTTTCCTCTTATGTTTTTTAATCGGTTTGTATACCATATTTAATTTATTTTTTCATCACAGTAAATGAATCAATACAGTTCTTACGACTGAGATTTTTTATGCATATT